ATATTGTCTCCTTCAACTTAGAACAAAAGAAAAATAAAAAGATGATATGTTTTAAAATTATAAATACAATTATGGAATAAAGATGTTTTTCAAAGTGAACTTGTTATTTTGCTTATTGAATTGTGGAAAGTTTCGAACTTTCTACTTTCATTGCTTGTCGCTATGTGTTAGAAATTTATTTAGTGCTTATCTTGTTTAAAGGTTGCGACTTTATTTAAAGCGTAGTCAGTTAGTTAAGAAGGCTCGATTTAGTTACCTAGGATCACTTGACTAGCATGTTTTTCTTGTTTAATTTGTGTTTTCTCGAGTTGTAGAGACTCATGTGACTCAAAATCCCTATCTTTTCCTGTAAAGCTCTCGTCTTTATTTACGTGCTTTCAATTGCCTTCGACTTTTAATTGCAGATAGTGTATAATCAATCCCAATCTTCTCGATTAGAATGTTTAGGACATCATTTGTTCTTTTTGTGATCTTGAACAACTACGTAGTGACCGAAGCTCCGAATCGTCTTCCTTGAGAGACAACTCGAGGTTCGAATTACTCGGTTACTAATTATTCTCACTCTAAACTACTCAACAGTCATTCCACAATGATCACAAACACAGTAAAAGGTAGGGTGCTCAAATCAGAAACTAAAAACTAAACATAAATTTATTGTTTTGATTCAAAATTTAATCAAAATCCAGCGACCGGTTCGATTCGGCTATCGATTAATCGCAATAAATAACTAATCTTATCAATAAATATGATTTTTTTAGCCGAACCAAAAAATTGAATTCTTATTAACCGATCACTGTTATCCAAACTAAATTAAAAACCTAAGTTTTAAGACTAATCAGAAGTCCAAAACCACCTATTATACAAGAATATCTCCCTCCTAAGATTCAAAAGTCCAAAACTATCTAATGTACAAGACTAATCAAATATACAAGAATGACCACAATTATATGGGATTGTATCCGGAAGAAGATCCCGTAATTCTCCAATGTTGTCCCGAATACATACGTAGTATTGATTTATTATTTATTTAATATCAAGATTTATAGAGATGCTACTGTCCCGTTACAGAACCATTCCATCGAGGTCTGTAACTGTTAGATCAACTATTCCCGGCGGTTATATGATGATCCAACGGTTTCAAACCCCAGACGAAATGGTTCCGTAACGAGATCGTAACATTTCCTTGATTTATACTCAAACATGAAAACAACGGCAAATTTCATAGTACGGTCAAACGAATGAACGTTAACGACGCAACACATTTGCAGATGGTCCAATAACATGTTAGAACATTCAATCCACAAAGCCACAAAATAAAAGATTT